TGTGTGATATTGACAATAGGATGCATTCTTGATTTAGTTCATATTGAATTTTTGCCTACTGAAAGTCTAGTGAGATGTGATAAAGTGATGGCAAATAACGATTAGTTGCTGAATTTCTTGTTTTGATTCTCATTAGGGTTTGAAGTGACACTAGTTGGGAATGAATATTTTCAATTTGAATAATTTAGCTGGATAATCTACTGTCAAACTTGTCCATCTGCTCACCTTTCTTGCATATTTATTTAAAGGTAGAAATAATGCAGTTATACCCGTAGTTAAGGGAGTCATAGAACCCTCTATATAGGGAGTCATATCCCTCCAGCTTCAGTCAGTTCTAAGTAGGTGCCCAGCTGCTTTATTTCTAGGAATACACTGAATTTGAGACATTTTTTTTCTTTATAATCTTTGACCTGATATGCCCAATTTTCATTGGTTGAGTTATTCTCCCATACTATATTTGGTTCCAACCAATTCAGTTTTAATACAATTATCTTGCTATTATAGAAGGAAACATCTAGACAGATTCTTGAGTTCCTTTACAGAATTTCTTTTCAGAATTCTGTTGGAGAGACTAAAACTTCTACCTCATCTTAATCAGAGCCTGAAACAGTGACTTATTCTAGGCTTACCTGATACAGCCATAGTTCTCTGTTTTGTGAAAACCTAAACTAGTGGCTAGGTTTAGTAGAAAGACATTAATTTACTTGAAATATAAGGTGAATGATATGAGTAGCTCTTCTGACATTTCTTTTGTCTCCTGTAGACATGTGAAGGATATTGCTGTTAAAATTAATGGGCTGGGAAAAGATTTAGACAACACCACAGTGGAAAAAATTAAAATGATCAACTCTCAAGTAACCACATTGATTTTTGTAGGAAATGTACCAAACTCCGAAATCTACCAAAACAATTTATCAACAATTAATATGCTTCCCTGAAGCCTCCGGAGTGCAAAAAAACAGCCCTATGGGCAAACCGGAAGTTCGGGAACAGACTCATATTTTTAATCATATAAGTATATATTTTGTATTTATTATTTTTTCCACCAAATATTCAGATTTAATTATTAGTTTATATCACAGGTTTGAACATATTGAACCCGGAGAACTGTCATTCACATATATGCATACTAGCCCATCATGCAACATGATGCTTGCATATTAATTGTTGATAAATTGTTTTGGTAGATTTCGGAGTTTACAGTGGGTTGAAGCATATGCTACATTTTTGTCCAACGTATTTTCATTATATTCATTATATTTCATTATATTATATTTGGCAATTAGTTTTTTAAATAAATTACACTGCGCTATGATAAAAAGGTGGTCCTTTATTTTATTTTACACTATCAGTTATACATTACCCACATACAAGACATTCTTAAATTCAGTTTTTCCAAAATTCTAAAAATACGTTTTTAAAATTTTTCACAGAGGTCACAAATGTCCAGAAAGAATGCAAGCAATAAAGTGATAAATTTTAACATACACCTGAAATTCTGCTATGACATTTTAAAAGAATTATTAAATCAAATCTTTATTTTGAATCACACACACACATGCACAGTTATGTTTTGCATTTTTCTTCCAAGCGATATAATCTGTAGTAAAATATTTCCTTAAAATGCCTTTAGTGACTCTTGTGGAACTTTGCTATTTCTAAAATTCAGGTAAAGAGATACTTTCTATGCTGTTTATAGCATTTAGAGGTCTTGTTTTCCTCATTGTTTTCATGCTTGTCTCTCACCCATTTCGGCAATCTCATTTAACACTCCAGTAATTCGGGGCAGGGAGGGAGGAGACAAGAAAAGCTAAAATTGTGGCTGAATTTACCACATACTTTATTCTTCCTTTGGCTTAATGCTTTATAATGCAAAATTATATGGATGTGTACTTAGAAATAAATTTATTTCAGTGCATTTTGGTCTCCCGAGTCCTTGCATAACAGGGGTTTTATAATGATTTTGATACTTTTTCTTAATAAATGCTGGACATGTTTATTTAGTGTAAAGCTACTATAGTTTGTAGTATGTAGTAGAAATGTGATGATCAAGTACTTTGTTTTAGATCAGGGCCCCCCACTGGGGCCACTAAATTCATAATTTTAAATCCTATGGACCACTGATATGATCTGCCTAATGACTTGGTGGGTGGCCGTGGCTAGGTGGTCATGTGACTGGATGGGCGTGGCCAACTTGATGTCACTCACGTTGCGGGGCACCTTGCTGGCCTCTATTCACCCCTCCCCTTTCAGCCTCACCTCGCCTTCCCGCCCAGGCTCCCTAGGGCCCCAACAACTCATTGAGCTCACTTCGATGAAACTGGAAGTCAAGGATAGAGCATAGAGGCGTGGATCAACTGTCATTTTTAGTCCTCTGGAGCCTTCAGGAAAGCCTCCTGAAGGTCCCTGAAGGCTCCGGAGGACGAAAAACGACCCAGTTCTGTTCCCAAACTTCCGGTTTGCCCATAGGGCTGTTTCTTTGCACTCCGGAGGCTTCAGGGAATCTCCTGAAGGCCTCCGGGGGGGGGTGGAGGCTGTTTTCGCCCTCCCCAGGCTTCTATAAAGCCTCTGGAGCCTAGGGAGTGAAAAATGGTTTTAAAAAAGGCTGAACTCAGCTGGCCAATATGCACATGCGCGCTAGCCAGCTCACAAGGGCAATGCCTCAAGTGCCTTGACAAATGGCTCCGCGTGCCATAGGTTCGCCATCCCAGATATATAGTATATCTTACATATTTCAGTTATTGAAATGCATACAAAACTGTTGAAGAAATAATACTTCAATAGTGTATTTAGCATTTTCCATATATATTTGTTGTTAAGATCTCATTACAATTTCATTAAAAATTTAAAAGCTAAAAATTCATTCATATCGTCTCACCAAGTTACATTGTTAGACCTAATAACAATTATGGAAAAGTGTAGTGGATCCAGGAGCCTAGGAGTGAGTAACCTAGTGCCTACTCGTGTTTACATTGCATTCTATAAACTCCATCCAACATGAAATATAGTCGATTACGAGAGCTGTAATCCAAAACAGCTGGAAACTGCTAGATTGATTTTGTGTTTAATAGTATTTTTATTTTCAGTTATTTCTTTTTTATGACACAACTTTGGTCTAAAATGATAGCTATTCAAATGAATGTTATTTTAAAAATATGTTTTAACTATAAACAAGAAACTAGGTTAAAAAATATCTGGCTGAAAACCAAAATAGAGGTGGATTTTCAGCTTATTTAAAAAATATCAACCAGCAAGGGTTTAGGTTTTGATTCTGAGACAATATGTGGTACTTGGCAAAATGCACCCTTACTCTGAGGAATAATGAATAAATTTATAATGGGAAAAATGATTCAAGGTAGAAATGATTGAAATCCCTTATCCCAATATGATGTATGAACTCAAAAGTCAATCTTCTGTTAGCTACCTGTCCATATATGAGAAGGTGGTGATTTTTAGAGTTATGAATATCCTTTGAAATAAGTACTTTGCAACCTGCAGTTGTGCATACAAAGCACTTATTTTTAAATCATTAAAGCAGGCAGCTTTTTCCCAGCTGAGCAGCCATGCATGCAGAAACAAGCTGGGAAAGGATGCAGTTGTTTTAATGATTAAAAAAAGATGACATGCATACAGAGATTTCTGTATTCAGCAGTGTGGATATCTGTGTGCATGCACGCGCACACACAAATTCTTGTCGAAAGTAAAACAACTACTTTCACAAAAATAAATTATGCAAGTGCTGCTGTTATTGGTCACTGAATGCAGGGTTATTTCAGAGGGGAACAAAGATTTTTTCTATGCCTTTGTGAAGTCATACAGTACAATAATATGTTCATCTTAAGAGTTTCATAATTTCCAATATTTAAGGGCTATGTTGATACAACACTTGAAGCTATGACTTGCTGAAAAGTACAGTTTGAGGTTTGCATAGAGACAACAGGATTCAGATATTAGTGTGGGATCCCAATTATAGCTCCTTTGTCCCAGAAATAGTGAGGGATATTGAGAATTGTAGTTTATTGATATCAGGAAAACTGATATCAGATTGATATCATATTCTAGACCAGGAATGTCAAACTCATGTCATCACGTCGGTGTCATGTGACGTATCGGGACTCCCTCCCCTTCACTAAACTGGACATAGGCATGGACAGTGCGTGATGCATCCAGCCCAAGGGCCGTGAGTTTCACAGTCTTGTTCTAGACCCATGATATTAAGATTGAAAACTGGCTTCTCAAGGACCTACTGAACTTGCAGAGGTGAGACAGAAACTTCAGAAATTTATTGCAGCAGACTGTTTGTCCTCAGATTGAAGTTGTGCAACTATTCTAGGTGTTCCTGGGTGAAACACATAATCTTCAAAGACAGTTATTTTTCACTCCTGCATTTGGAGTTTCCAGTCTATGATAACTTTTACACTGAAGATTAGCTTAAACTAGTGTCTCATTTTGAACAATTCACTTTGGTAAATGCAGGACACCCCTCCCCTTTTGCTTTCTTCTATAAATTTCATATATGTAATCCATATTTGTTCTTGAAATATATAGAAAATGAAAAATATTTTCCAAAAGGATTTTGTCATTCTATTTAATAGAATGAACATTTGATTGTATCCACTAGAATAAAGTGGTACAGTCTTGTTTCTTTTAAAAAAAGATTCACATTTTAATATTTATGAAATTACAAAGAATTTAATTGTTCCGATAGATAAATGTTTTGGAAGAAGCTTGGGCTAAAATTTAATGTTAATGTTATTTTTAAGATAGTTTTGTACTTTTTAAAGGCCTTGTCTAAACTGGGTTCACAACACTTGCTTATTTTGTTTTGTCTTAATGTGTTACATAAATCAAGTGGTTTAAGAGTGCTTTATGAATTCAGTTATTGTGATTTAATAAATAATTATTAAAACAAAACCTGACTCACAGTGATGTAAGACTCCAGTTTGAATAAGTCAGAAATTCCAGAAAAGGTTAAAAGCCCACTTCCACTTCTTTCCTAGGCCCTTGATGAACCGCCATATTTGACAGTAGGCACTGATGTGAGTGCAAAATATAGAGGTGCCTTTTGTGAAGCCAAGATAAAAACAGCAAAAAGACTGGTTAAAGTCAAGGTATGTATATCCATGCATTTTAAAATTCATTTTAGGTATATGTAGAATACATATCTAAAGAACTTTTGAGTAATAATCTCTTGTACCTATTTTCCATCAGAGTAAATGTTTGTCAGTCTACACTTTTTCTTTCATTTGATTAGCTAGGCTCATAGCAATTGAAGGCATATAAAAAATAAAGAACATTAGAGTTTGGATAGAAATTTAGTAATTATTTCTGCTAAATTTGCCTATAACATTAATATAATGAATCTGGATAAAAGGAACAGCACTGTATGATTGTATGTGCATGCATTCCCATATAATAGCAACTTTCTGAATCCTTCTAATTATGATTGCAATAGCACTTTGCAATAGCACTTGAACTTATATAGTGCTTTACAGCCCTCTAAGCGGTTTACAGAGTCAGCATATTGTCCCCAACAATCTGGGTCCTCATTTTACAAACCTTGGAAGGATGGAAGGCTGAGTCAACCTTGAGCCTGGTGAGATTTGATCTGCCAAACTGCTGGCAGCCAGTGATCATCTGAATTAGCCTGCAATATTGCACTCTAACCACTGCGCCACCGTAGCTTTTATATGATACTCTTAAAATACTGGCTTTCTAATCTATAGTCTGCATGCAGTTGCAGAAAATCCACTTATTTTACATAGGCTTGCATAAGAGAAGTTGAGTCAGTTGTTTCCATAAATCCAAATATTTATTGTTTCAAATATTGTGTTTGCTATCTGGCTAGGACCTATTTCCATTTACTCTTGAATAAGTAACATATGGATTGTAATCCTGTTTGCAAGATTGAAAGCAAGAATTGCTTAATGTGATCAATTTCTTAATTAAGTATCTGTAATCCAAGTAGGACAAAATAATTAGACCTTTTGGCCAAAACAAAAATCAATCTCACCTTCAAAAATCTCAGATTTGGCATACTTTGAAGTAAGCTCTCTCTTGTTTTCAAATATTCTTGTTATCAGTTGTGTTAAAGCAAACTTTCTTCTTCTTCTTGCTTTTTCCAATTATGGGAAGCTAATTTGAGCTATCACACACAAAAATTAAATGTGCACACTTATCACTAGCCAATTTGTACCTACTCTCAGTAAGAATAATAGCCTTTGTGATCTTAATCTTTAAGATCCTTAGGGCTATATTTAGATTGCTGTTTCAGGAATTTTTGGCTCCACCTCATGAAACTCCTTTTAACATAATCTTAAAATCTGATACAGAAATTCCCCCAAGCAAACTTGAAGACTTTAGGGTTCATTTTATTGATGCTCGAATTGGACTTCACTCCATGTACTGACCTTCCATTGACACTACATGTATCAATGGAATAGTATTTAATCTTTGTCTTGTAGCAATTTTTGGTGTTATTTTACCAGAGATAGTGAAATCTGACTATTTCCTACTTAGTTCATTGGCTTCCAGGTTTTTTTTTAATTAAAAAAGTGGAGTTTTTAAGGGCCTGAGTATTCCCCAGACACTATATTTTTAGAGTAACAATTAGAAATGCTTATTGATAGGGGAATACTCATATCTCTTTGCATCTACATCCTAATTGTTTTCTATCCATATGGTTTAGAGAATGATAAATTGATGTGAACAGTTTGATTTCATTTTACCTTGCTGTGGCTATGTGGTTAAGTTGGAACCACAGAATTTTGCTTACATCTATATTTCAGATATTTTGTAAGCAAGGCAAAAGAAAGTTGTAGAGAATGAAGATGAAAGAATAGTTGATGCTATGAACTACTGGTATAATTGTAACTTAATGATATTGTTAATAATTGGATTTATATGTTTTCTTTTAAAGTCTCAGAAACATCTGTCTTCCAACAGTAATGGTTAGGTTGGTCTGAGAGTTACTTGTTCAAAATAATTTAATTACCTAACCTAACTTACTGTTGGAAGATAGATGCAGAGATTTAAAGAAATGTTTCCTGTGTCTGCATCTATATCCTTGTGTTCCTTTATAAAGTGGAGAAGGATATTAAATCAACTGATCTTTATAAATGTGTAATTAATACTATTACAATCTAGTTGTTCCACTACAAGAGAAAATTGGTAACAAATGAAAAAACATGGACATTGTGAGTTTCATTTGAACCTCAGTAGCATAAACTACTGCAAATAGGTTTAACTCAGGTTCAGAAATATGATAACCATTCTTAAATTGTTTTAAATATGTCTACAATTTTGTTTTCTAGGTAACATTTAGGCATGATTCATCAACTTTAGAAGTTCAGGATGATCACATAAAAGGCCCTTTAAAGGTAATATATTTGAATTATTGCTGAAAAAAAATTCTTGGAAAATTTAGAGCGTAGTTGAAATATATTAGAATTGAACAGTTCAACACTTGACATTATCAAGTGTTTGACATCCTCTGAATAGAAACATTTGTTATTTAAAAACACTGAAATGTAATTTGCAAACTAATGCTGTGTGTTGTAGAATTTAAGAGTCTATTCTTTGGTAAGATTTTATTGTTTTCTGTGTAGTGAATAGTACAGAAAAATATGTAATGTACATTCATTTATTTATTCAATTTATATAGTTGCCCATCTCAAATAAGTGACTCTGGGTAGATATATAAATTCAATATTTGGGGGGGGATCAGGCAACATTTTCTGCTAAATATTTGTGAAAGTATCATTATCTACATATAAGGTTCCTTGGAATTCATTTAGCAGTCTGTATATTTTTATTAAAGATATATTGAGATGACCAGTGTGCAGCCAGTGAACTTCAGGCTGCACGTAGCTCTCAGAATCTTTGGCTTCAATCTGCCACACATCCCCATCTCTGGATTACATTTCTTACAGACTTGACATAAAACATGGCTGGAAGAAGTGCTATTGTTGTATGAAAGAAATACTCATCTCTTTTTCACAAGTGCCAACCACAGAGCTCATCAGTTTCACAGAAAAAAACAACAACAACTAAGCACATACAGGAAAATTCCTAGTAAAAGAAAATCTGCAAAAAAAATAAAAATTCTAGACTTTTTTGAGAGAATCACCAGTCAGGTGACTGGTGTCAGTAGCATATAACAAAGCTTTGATAGAGTTACTCATCAAACGCTCTTAAGTAAACCCAATGGTCATAGACCAAGAAAATCTGTCTTTTTATGACTTGCTAGCTGAGTAAACAACAGAAAGCAAATAATAGGAATAACAGGAATAGCTTCATAAATTATTTTAATGTAGTAGTAAGCAATGAATTGGCAAAATTTGCAGATGATACCAAATGATTTGAGGTAATGAAAATCAAACGTGATTGCAAAAAGATGTAGAAGGGTCTGTTTAAACTAAATAAATGGTCAGTCAAATGGAAAATGCAATTCAGTTCATTTAAGTAAATATAATGTGATACATTGGGCAAAAAAGTCAACAAATGAACTGATAGGATTGGATTGCCTACAACCAACTAATAGAAAGAATGTTGGATATGTTGGATAGCTCAATGGAGTTATCAATCCAAAATGTAACAACCCTAGCATATTCCATGCTAATTAGGAAATTGACTGAAAATAAAGCTGCCAATAGCAAATAGCTTTTGCACAAATCTATGGAAAACCCGTCTCCTACGATGGAGAGAAAATAGTTTCCTTTCGTTGGCTAGAATATTAATTGATCCTTACCTTTGTACTCATAGAAAATATAAAACTAGAAAGAAAGGAAAGATGATGTTAATAAAAATGAATATATGAATATTAAATTGAACATTTTAAAAATAATTGGTGCTTTCTTTTCTTTCTTGTCCAAAATAAGTCTTTTATAGTGATTAGAGATGTTCTCTTCGATCTTTTTTGATATGCAGAGAAATTGAAACTATATTGCACACTCTTTCAGACTTTTAACCCTAAGTACTAATAAGCTTGTCTGCTTTTTGTTTTACATACTATTTTAGTAAGCCATTTTGACATCAATTCTTTTTCACCATCTGCTGGCAGTAAGGAAGTAATATAAAGCGCATCACTGTACATGAAAATAGATTTTTTTAGAAACAATACTTTTACAAATAATTTGAACAGGCTGATCAATGATTATTTTATAAATTCTGGCCTTATTCCAATGGGAATTTTTAAAGACTACTTCACACTGCTATAAATAAGGGTAAAATAATTTTCAAATCTTAATACATTAACTTTGCTTTATAACTTAATTGAACATTGGGATTTATTTATAGTACTCCTTGAATTGCTATCCATACAGTTCTTTGTGTGACAAAATTAAGCAGATATGTATTATGGGTGTTTCAGCCATCCTTGCATTGGTACATTTCAGTAATATATGTCACATTTCAATAGCAGGAATGTTACTGCTATAACTTTTCTTCTGTTTTGAAGAATTATCAGTGTAAGACTCTTAATTATTCAGAACATTTTAGTAATAGAATTTAGATAATCATAATAAAATTATTTTTATGTCCAAAATAAAATTAGTATCCGTATTGCAAAACTGCAGCTTGTTCAAGCTGGCATTCAAAGTCTGCTACTCAGGTGGTTTTTTATCCTTGTGTATATATTCCTGAAGGACAGAACTATTGTCATAAAAATAGTCTGTAATATGCAATCAGAAAATAAAGTTGTCTACTCCCTCCCTCCATCCCATCAATTTTTTGAATCTTCAACACATCATATTTTGCCTTTTTTAAAAATCATTTTTATATGGTGTGTGTTTGTGTGTCCTCAGTATTGATTCCTGGCAACTGCCTTGAGAAATCCCTGCAGTTTCATTGGTAGGATTTTCAATTTTTCCTTTATTTTCTACCTAAGGCTGAGAAAAAGTGGATGGCTCAAGGTCACCTTGTCTAAGGTGGGAAAGGAATTCATGGTTTCCTCAGATTTCTAGTCTGGTGGTATAACTGCTACACCAAACTGGTTTTCATATGCTACTGTTACATTAGTATAAAAACTAAATTCAATAAAATAAGACGTGAAGTGGTTCAGTATTTCATAACCAAGTGCCTCTTTAAAAACCTTTAAAGTTGTTTTTGTTGTAGGTAGGAACTGTGGTGGAAGTCAGGAATCCAGATGGAACTTATCAGGAGGCTGTCATCAATAAATTGACAGACGCTAGTTGGTATACTGTAGGTAAGGAAAACTACTTTTTACACAATTGAAAAATTAAGTTTGTAAAAAATGTACTTTCTCCTGTAATATTCACCAAGGGTTGGTCTTTGTATTCAGTGAGTACTTTTAGTTTCAATATAACATTTCCATTGACATGCAATCACTTATGAATGTTTTGAGACAGAATCTACTTGATGATGATAAAAAGACAAATAGAAATAGGAAACAAGAGAATTGTGCAACAGCTTTAAATAATAACTTCTTGCCAATTCATAGAATTTAGAATCTGACTTGTAACATTTTAAAACTTCAAGGTATATGTTGCATTAAGGCCTTTTTGGTCCTAATTTTTCTGATTTGTTTTTGATTGTTCTGAATATTGTACTAATTCTATGCTTTTGGGGCATCTCATCTTCCCAGCTGCTTCTAGAAATTCTAGAACAAATTCCAGTTGTGTATGTGTGTGTGTGTGTATGTATGTACGTATGTATGTATATATGTATATGTATATGTGTGTGTATGTATGTATATATATATGTGTATGTATGTATATGTATG